CAAAGTTAAAGCAATGGAAGGGTAGTTGATGGCCATCAGACCAATGCTAGCCATCAGTTATTTTGATAAAGCTAATGATAGTCTCCTGAACACTGTTTTGCATATTCTCTCTCTTTTATAATCAGCTAAAGCATTTGCGTTTGTATTCGTGTTCGTTATTATGATATAAAAACTTGAAATGCTAAACATATCTCTTAAAAGTTATATTAGAAAACTGAAATTGTCTTAAAATATTGATCATATGTATAAATGTATTTTATTAACGCATTTCATTACACCTCGTAAGGCGATTTTACTTGCTTCAATTTTGTATCAGTCTTGCTGCATACCCATCACCATTAAAATTTTTAGTGCTCCATACTCTTATTTATGATCATAGAAAAAATGAATGGGAGAAAATTTATCTTTCGCCTTTTAGTTCACTAAAATGCATTCTTACAAAAATGAATCCACGTCTACGACGTGACGAGCGCCATACTTAATTTAGAATTAACGTACTTAACTTGTCTTGTCATCTTCTACTCTCCAAAGTTCTTTTATTCGATATCCGTGTCGATGGTATTCTTCGGAAAAAATTAATCCACCACATCGTAGTGTCCGCACATCTATAACGCATTTCCAGGCAAATAAAAATTCTTTATTTAAGGAATTTTTATAAACATTTTGTCTTGTTTACGCTATGATTAATAAGCATAAAATGTAAAAAAAGTAAAAAAAAGAAAATAACTTTAACACATGAATAGTAGAGTTAGAGAGTAAAGTAAATGTGGAAATTTTCAATCTTCTGTCTTTTATAATTTGCTTAGATAAATAGAGTTGGCTTCAGTTCACTTTGCTTTGTTGCGGTAGTGTGCTCTGACCAACTTGGCCCATTTTCGATAACAATCCGAGTTCAGAAACTTTCAATATTCCAACAGGCAGACAGATAAACACGACGTAATCGATTCAGAATTTCACGTCGAGCAAATATAGATATATTTTTATAGAGACTAGCAACTGAATGGTCGTGGGTTCAAATCTCAAGTGCGGTAGAGTTTTTAATAAAAGCCGAAAGCCTTAGATGCTAGTGCTTTTTAGACTTTAGTCTTAGAATTTATTCTCTGGCTAAATTTATAATAAAAATAATAATAATAATAATAGTATTTTATAGAGTCGCTGAAATTTACTTTTGGGTATTGCAAACGTTATGAGAACATGAGTATATCCCCATTCTTCGGTACTACGTATAAAAACACAAATATGATTAATACCTGTGCGAAAAGAGACTTGTATGCAAGATAAACATAAACTTGCAAACCAAGAAAATACTTTTTCCTGATTATGAAATATTTCAAGGAGCGAAAATCGGGTAAATTAACTATCCATTCCTGGTTTACTTTCGCTGGAGACGAAGAAGGGACGCATCCGAATTTGCATCGTTTTAAAGACTAAAATTTTTTGCAAATTTTTTGCTTAATAATTCTCCTTCAACCTTCAGTTGACTTTTTTTTTGCGAGCTTAACCCCATCCATCGAACTCTTAACACTTTGACATACGCTGAAGGACAAAATTGTTGTTAACAATTGAAATTTATACCGTGCAAGCACCAATATGTGGGTTATGTATACATTATATTTCAGGAAAATTGAACCGGGCAGATGCGTCTTACGAAGCAATAAACCTCAGTTGACATTTATTTATTAATACACCTAACACATAAGGACACAATAATCGAAAATTATATATATGTTAAATCAATTGTTATATCAATCACTGAAGAATGTACATACACTTCGGTGCATACTTAAACTGATCATTATTGCTTTCTAATGTCAAAGAGATCGGCACCTTTTTGCTTACGTGGCAAACGTTGATAGACATTGCGACGAGCGGTTTTGAATTATAAAGTCAAACGAGATATTATAATTTCAAAATTCTTCGAGAGTAATATTATGATAGTATTTGGACGACAAGATTTCCTTTACTTTATACCCCTTCAACCCATCAACCAAGGATGTGAATATGTTCGTTTTGTCAAAATGTTTAAAATACCTAAAAGGAAGCTTTAGACATTTTTTTTGTTACTTATATCATGTTGTTTTGGTTTTTTTTATAATATGCAACAAACAACATGGATTTAATTGTCCACCTGTTTATACATTTATTTACTTTAATTGAAAATATTTTGCATTAAACCATCAAATTTTTATCTGACCTCGCACTTGTACACGATTTTCTCAAAAGTTTCTTTCCATTTTAGATTCATTTCTTTTATTTATTTTTTTTTTTTTTATGTCGATTCACATCTACTGTGTGAGTGATACACACCGTCACAGCGGTTCAAAAGATTTAATGACTTTTTATGAATAATTTTTATATTAAATTTTGTCACTTTATGTGAGCAGTATGGGCATAAGCAAATCATTGACGGATTTGTATTGAAAAAAAAAAAAAAAAAAATTAACCTTCTTGTATACTATACTACATTTATACATGATTTGTTGTTTTTGGTGGCGAAAAGTTTGTTGAAAAAAAAGCAAGAAAATCGTAATCATATCCTTTACCTGCCTGCCGATTAGTTAATATGGACTTTATTATCGCGCAATTTTAGATAAGGCTGATATATGTTACCGTAGTTGAAAAGTTTGGCTATGGTAGAATGGGCCATTGAGAGCTTTGTTCTCTAAGAAGGTTAAGCTGAACGAGAATTCTTATACTTTCCCAGACATCTGATGCATACTTCTAAGGAATGCAATTCCAGTATTCAAATATACGAAGACCTGATATATGCTCGGGCTAAATTTTTAATCAATAGTTACCTTAGTTGAAAAGTTTCATTGTCGATATAGAAGTGCTTTTAACAGCTCGGTTCTCTGCGCATGTTAAGCTGAACAAGAATTTCTGTACTTTATTCAACATCTGATGCTTACTTCCAATGTGTGTATTCCAATGTGAAAAGTATTCGCTTCTCATTTACACTTCTCCATCAAGTATCGTTTACGTGCAACAGTGTGATTAAGTCGTCATATGAGTTAAAAATGATAAGAAAAAAAAGCTGGTTTTACTTTCCGCCAAATGATCATCAGAAGGAGAATTTCTTTTTATATTTACATTGAATCTTTAGATGATATATTAGTAGAAATTTCTTTTGGTGTTCCCTCCCTTATGGATGTGATCAGAATCGCTTATCAGAAAGACGGAAAATTATAATCAAATCATTTTCAAAATTCTTACCTCTCTTTACCTGCTAAATACCTGATGAGTATCTCGCGTCGTTAAAAACGAAATAATGAATCCAATGCATTCTCATGCATGCACTAAATAATAGCAAGCAAAAAAAAAAAAAAAAAAAAAAAAAAAATCCAAAAATTTTCATATACATATATATATAACATTACTGTTATGATATAATCATATTAAATAATTTCCTCTTACATATATGAAGTTATTGTTAGGAAATCCTAGAGACGCTTATAAAACTTACATTTTTGTATTTTATTTATGTATATATCGAAGAATAGCAATTTGTAAGATTTCACTACATGCACACTATACACTGGGGAATAAGATTTATAAATATTTTAACATATAAACGCAATTTAATACATACACACTGCCATAACATTGCCGGCATGTCGGATATCTATGGAAAAAGTCATTAGCACACAATTTTTGAGTGTTCATAACACTTTATAAATCTGTTTACAAACAGCTCCCCGGAGAAAGCTTGAACTTGTCGATTTCGTTATTGTTTTCGTTTGTATATGTATATGTATTCTATGCATGGGGTTCTTAATCGCAAACGCAGAAAGACGCTTTAGCTTTACCGCACAGAGGAAACAAATGATTTATCATTAAAACAATTACAGTCATTTGGAAGACAACCGTAATATTGCTATTATCGTTAGTAAGGTGCCATACGAAAATCATCTCTGATATGTGATTAATAATAATCGTTGTAAGAGGAAGCGTAACGTAATTTACACCATTCACTAGTAATTAAATTTTAGCACGTAGTAGTTTCTCCGATTTACGTGATTTCTACATAGCGAATCGAAATCGAAAATATATATATATATATATATTATTATTTATTTGACATTTACATTTCCTAAATGTGAACGCACCCGGCAATGAATTATGGCAATGTCTAGTCAAACATATCATGTTACCATATATTTAAGATTTGCAATTCCATATAATACATGCGGCCTATTACGCGTAATAATAGCTAAATATATCCCAACATTTTATAGTGCAACTAATATAGCTCTCGATGATATGTCTTGGAAATATTCGATAGTCTTCTCAGCCGCTTAGACAGCCTTCTTGCATGTATATACACGATGACGATGCTTTAAAGGCTATCATACACGATACAATGGTCGTGTATTTTATATCGAAAGTGTATCTGTGTAGGTGAAGATTGCTGATTGCTGCACTAATACGGTCCCCAACTATCCGAAACCCGAAACCCAATTATATATTTGCTAAAATTTATTATTCAATGCACAAATTTCAACCCAACTCGGCATTTGATAGTCTCATGCTCAGTTAAACGCTTATTGCTGCAGCACTTAGAGCTAAGAACTTTTTATGTGAACTAACTATCTTCTTGTTGGCGGAACTATTGTAAACAAATTTATGATCATCCATTAACTTGCATTTTCTTCACCGGCTATCAGAGTAATAGGCTTTGCTCTTTGTCTTATACTTAAGGCAACGAAGATTTCAGAAAAATGCATTAATTGCTTAGTTAAGTATAGGATTCAAGGGAGAAGCTGCAAAGCATATGAATTAAATAATAAAATGAATAATGCGATAACTACTCGCCTTTTTTCTGAAACACTTAGGTTTCGTTACTTATTAATCGAATGCTCTATCGACATTCAAAGTATAAAGAAAATTTGTACACAAATTGTGCAAAGAGAAACACGAGATAAACGCATATGCGTCATAAGCGTCTTTGAGAATCTTTTCAGAATTTAGTTTTTAAAAATGAATTCATCTTTATTTTTCAGCTTGGCACGTTGGTACCGATTGCCACACCAGCCCCACCGACCACAATAGCACCACCTATACGCATTGATATACAGTCGTCGAATTTATTAAACAATTTACCGCCATTACTCAATACGCCAACGGTAAGTAATATGAACACTATTTTTTTTTTTATTTTTTTTTTTTTTATACTGTCGTACAAGCATCCACGCATATGCACAGCCACCATAATATAACGTTACAAGGATAAAACAGAAAACATTCAGACATTAAGTACGAACTCTAATGAAGCCATACAAGCTCACACGATACGCTTAAACGTACACAAACCGACGAATACGTGGACAAAAATTCTATATGTGCACTAGCGTACGTATATTTCGCTTATATATCATATAATTTTATTTTTTGCTTTCATTTCATTTTTAGTTCATTTAAAACATTTTTTTTTTTTTATGAAATTTTATTGCTGCAATTTATTTTATTTATTGAATTCATTGTTATAGACTTTCTTACAAAAAAAAAAAAAAAAAAAATTAATAAATAAATAAATATAAATAATAATACAAATTCCGCTAACATTCATGCACCTATCTACACATATACACTTATACAAATATTTTTCTGATTTCCGTTTTTTTTTTTTTTGTTCTTTTTCTTTGTTGTTTTGGTGCTTTTTCAATAAATTTCTCTACTGTTTCTTTACTGTTATTGTATTGATTTTTGTTATATACACACACAAACAATATATATATATATATACACACACATTATGTGTATATATATATATGAGTGTGTACTTCTTTTTCTGTTATTTTACATTGGAAGAAATTAAAAATAAACCCTTTCCTTTCTTTTTATGAAAGTGAAAGGTAGCAAAAATGAGTGAAAATAAAAAAACGAAAGAATCTTTTTATATATATTTCGTTTATACAAAATCAACTCTATAAAGTAGAAGCATCGCATAAACAATACATACAATTTATTATTATATTATGCAGGGATAAATTGTTTTATTAAATAACTTCAGTCCACTTCATGTACACTGCATACGTGTGTACACAGAAAATGGATTCTGATTTATTAATTTAATTTTTTTACCAATCAGCCGAGAATGGTGACGTTTCTTTCTTTCTTTCTTTCTTTTTTTTTTTTTTTTTTTTTTTTTTATTTTATAATTTATTTAATCATGCACACAGAAATAGTCATCGAAAACTCTTCTTAGGGACTTTGCTTCCAAACCCAATTGTATTATTATTGAATTCTTTGCAAAGTGTGCACACTTTTTTTTTTTTTTTTATAATTAAGCTTACCTTGACTATTGCATCCTATAACTATTTACAATCGTTTTAAAACTTACCGTAATTAAAGATATTAATCTCTTATATGAAAATTGAAGTCAAGTCATGTGTGTGGTTTATGACAGCGCTTTGCCAATAACATAAAGACTAACTTGAGCTTATCGATAATATGCTTTTCCCCGAAAGTACTGGACTTAAATGATGAAATGAACCCCTTTCACTCATAGTAGTTCCTGAAAGATTAAGCAGTGTGACCCGTTATCAAAACGTGGACATATTTGCATCAAGCACAAGCATTGTAGGTTCTCTGTAACTAAAGTTGAATTAACTTTCAACCGAACTTATCAATGAGAGATAGTTGAAGTTGAGCGTAAATGTGTATCAAAAAAACTGTCAATCATTTCTCTGTAGGAAAATTTCAAACATATATAATAAGAAAATCGTGAATCCCATATGTCTATGCAAGGTAGTGGGTAAACTAAGTTTATCGCTTACACCATTTATGTCTGGTATTGTTGCAACTCCTGCTATAGGCTGCTATGTATTTTCCGAAAATCGGTTCTGATACTCCTATACTTTATGCCATGCAAACGAATTAATCACAAAATATATTTTGTTATTTGAACTGATTTAGATATACATGCAGTAGAAATGCCTGAAACCTTCGCATTTTGTTCGCAGAAAACGATTACTGAAGCTATTCTGAAGCATGGCGATTATCTTAGTAATCCTTCAGTCGAATTATATGTCGACTTGTATGTTAAGTACTTACGTTACGAACCTCTTTTATACATGATAATTACATATCTCATAGTCATGTAGTCTTCTTACAATAATAATAATCCGACTGAGTGGCCGACTAGGCAAAGGGTCTCGACTAACAACTCAATGGCCGTGGGTGAAAATCGCAAGTGCGATACAGTTTTCAACAGAGCCTTCCATCCTAGTTCTTTAAGACTTTAATTTTAGAATTTATTTCCATCTATAAGAAACTAGCTAATGAACAATGTTAGAAGTAATTATCTTATATCTCACGAAAGATACGTATTTTAACTCGTTGTTGACCGGGCCTAAAATATGACTCGTAGATAGTAAAGTACAACAGAACTTTCCCGCCAACCTATTATTTGTATAGTTGAGTGCATTCAAACTTTTAGGTCCACATATATTAATTCGCTTTTTCCTATGCGTTTGCGGTTATTCTAGAGCACGAAAAGATTGGGCGAATCAAACACAAAAAAAGGATAAAATAACAACAGCAAAACATTAATTAATACAAGACAAATGCAACGACTAAAATTTGGTAGCTTTCTCTCATATTTTACCCGATACTAAAGCGACTGCTTGGACCCATATATGAAAATATACGACAAACAGTTTATAAAGCATGTGTAACCTTTATCATCCGTACAAGGTACATATTACCTTTGCCTTTATCTGTTTTGTCCACGTAGCACTACTGAAAATGTAAAGAGAGAAAAAAATTTAGGATAAAACAAGTAGAACCGGTATAGTGGGCCACGACCCATCATTACCTTGCTTCATAAAATTCATTCATGCACCTACTTTTCAAAAGAAGCATGCGATCGGGTTCAATTTCAATAGGGTCCGCTGATGGGCCAAAAGACGTAGGTGTACCAAGTTTCTTCAATATGTCTCCAATAATTTCCACTTGCAAGTTCTTGCATATAAATATACAAGGCAATGAAACGGACAGACAAGTTACGATCGATTCAGAAAGTAATTCCGGATCGATGGGTAAAATAAAAGGTATGAATATCTCACATTATTCTGGCTAATGTGTACATTCGTACAAACCTAATACAGTCTTATAATGCAAATGAGGGGAGTAGTCATAAAAGAAAGGGGGAATGTGAACTTCCAGTTAAAAAATTCTAAGAAACATGAAATACTTTAAAAATATTCAAACCTAGATGATGGGTATCTGAAAACAAATAAAAAATAAAAAAAAAAGAAGAAAAAATTTCTTTAGTTAGATTTTATTTTCTTCTTTCCTTCGTTCTTTTCTTCAAACACATCTGTGTTTTTCATAAAAAGTTTAAATTTAATTTTCTTTTTTGTCCTCTCTTTGCATTTCAAGCGGAAATAATTGTCATACTTATATTAATGTTAGCGTTTCGCAATGTCTTCGAGACAACTCTGCGAGAAGAACGAGACTGTATTTTTATTAAATAAATCTCTTTTACTTAAAGGACTTGAGAAAGAAACACTAAATCAAGCCACTGGTACAAAGATGACTGAAAGGCTTAAGGCAAAGTCTTTGCATAACCGTTACAAATTATTTTATTTATATACTTTGGGATCGTTTAATACTCTCCCTCGCTCGCTCTCTCTCTCTCTCTCTCTCTCTTTCTGTAAAGAATTTTCCTTACATTTAGAAATCATTTACCTAATTTAATTAAATATCTCTTATCACATATTAAAAGTAAAAAGAAAAACGAAAGAGTCAAAGAGAAATGTTTAAGTGTTCTTTCCTTTCTTTTGTTTTTTAAATTGCATTTAGCGGACAAGAGAAAGAATAAAGAACACTTTACAATCATTTCTAAATTTTCACTATTGATATTTTTTTTTTATTTGTTTTTTTTTTTTTTTTTAAATTTTTTTTAAATTTAAAACTACACAGAAATATTCATCAAATTTAACTCGAATTCATGACAATTATGTGATATGTCGCTCTTGCACTACCCACCTCTCGAGAGGAAGAGTAAATCTTAACTTCTATGGGTTCCATTTTGAACCCTTTCTTAATCGTGCATAGTATTTAAATATCCAATACCTATACTAAAACTCAATGGAAATACGTAGAACATAAAATTAATTATGTTAACATGTCTGTCTGTCTGACCGTTACTTAATTGATTGCATTTTCTTATGGTCATTTGACCCAAATTAAATAATTGAATCTGTTGCGGTTAAAACAATAATCAATAATGTCGAAAAGTCGTAACTCGAAGTCTCCATGCTCTATGCGGTGGGTAATCGTAATTTGCTTAAAGCGAATATAAACTTTTTACCTGTTTTCAAAGAAATTAAACAATTAAAGATATTCCCCTTGAAAAACTAGTTTACAACAGCGCCGGAATACGAAACGGTAATTATTTTTAATAATCTATTTTGGCATGAATCCGTTATACGTACATTACAACAAACATAAAAGTTTCTCCTTTAAAACATATATATATATATATATATATTATTAAAGATTTTTGCACGTTATTATGTTATAAAAAAAAAAAAAAATAAATAAATAAATAAATAAATAAAAATATAAAAATTATATAACATAAACTATACTCTCCAGAAATGTTTCAATTTTGTTTATTATTATAATCATAGCAATGTTTCATTTAAACGGCCGGCTAAGGTCTAATTATTAAGTACGATAAGAAAAAAAATAATGCCAAGCGTTTGAGCCTAAAAATTAACAATAATTACTTTTATTATTGTATTCTCTTTCTCGCTAAAAGTTACCACTGTTTTTATATCGAACCACTACAGACAGTTAAACGAGAAGATGTTCCAATATTTTTTTGTCAAAATCTAGAAACTAGAAAATTTTTCCCACTTTAAGTCAACCAATTGAGCTTAGTCCGCGTTTTTGTCTTTGCTAAAAGGTCGCTTATGTTCATTTCAATGAAATTTTTATGGACATTTTGTATTTTTATACTGTTATCAATAAACAGTAATAATGCTGTTAATCAGCAGTCACCTAACTGTTTTCTCTTTCATTCTCATTAATTGTTAGGGCCAAAGGCTCTGTTCATAGTTTCTTAACATGAAGTCGCATTCACTCAAACAAAGTTCAAAGCAAAACAGACGCGTATATAATTTTGTTTTTTTAAGTGAATAAGCGCTATGATGTGCATGTACGAAAGAAACCAAACAGAGTAAATAGGCAAAAATTTTAATTTGTGTTTCTTTCAATGAAAATCTTCTATGAAAAAATTACAATAGGTTCTAGAATATGCTTTTTAGGGAGCCAGTCTTACGAACACGCCATGAAATATGTCAAATATATATGTGTAAGCAAATAAAGATCATAACTATATAATAAGTAAATTATTCCTACAGCATAATTTGCCTAATAATAAAAAACTTGTGCATATGTTCCTCGATATGAAAAATTTTTAATGAAATTTTTTTCAAATATTTGGTGAAAACAAAATTTCGATTTTTCCAAAACCAAATAAACGATGAAAAGAAAAGAAATTATATTTCCTACCTGTGTACTGTTTATTTTCTTCCGTACATATCGTAGCGCGCAGAATTGTATTTGCTTCTGCTTTGCAAACGTTTGAAAGAATGTTAGGTGATATCATGAAAAAACTATTAACGACATTTTTTCCCACACAAATAATGAGAATAAATAGAGCAAGCAAGCCAAATGGCTGCTGGTTAGCAGCCGTTACTACTGTTATTGATAACAGGACAAAAAAAAAAAAAAAAAATTCGGTAACAATTTCCTAATTCGTCATCTTGGCAATTAGTTGTTTCGGATAAAAGCAATTTAGGAAAATATCAATTAATTGTTCCTTTGCAAGTCACTTTCGTCGCTAGACACTTTCCTTTTTTGTATCATTGTCTCACCTTCAAAACAAAGAATTTACATAAAGAAAAATTCATTTCTTCTCAATACCTGTTGTGGTACCATGGCTGCCTCCGATAAGGCATGCTGTGCAACATTATTTTAAACAGATGTAGTTTCCTTTTTGCTACTAGAATATAAACTGTTTTCTTCGATAATGCATCTTAAACATGGCTAACCAATCTACGCAACCGCATTTCGTACTTTTGAAAAACTTTTCTGGAAAATTACCGAAGCCATAATCAGTTTCTTTTAATTTAGTGGTTTCTACAAAGTCGGTCAGGAGGGATCATTTTAAGAAATAGCTAGCGATGTCTTCTTTTTGCGTAGACTGCTCAGTAGATTAAATTTTAATGCCAGATTAGACCAGTTACCCGACCAGATTTCGCGTATATCGATCATCTGAAAGTATTTGTTTTTTTTTTTTTTCAAAATCGTGACGTGTTATGAAATGAGTTCCTATCTAAATTATTGAACTATTGAACATAATTGGAAGCAGTTGCATGGCTTCCAAGTGCTTTGTAAAAGTCTTGTATAATTTTGATTGATGTTTTAGAGTTGTTTTTGAACTCTTACACCAAACAATAATCAATTTTCTGTCAGTCATGCATGTTACGTAAAACGAATGAAAAAAAGGAATAGAGAAATATTTCAAATAAAAATGATTAATTGGAGTAAATGTTAGTAAGAATTTATTTACTATAAGTCACAGCAATCCTAAGCCATTGACACATTTCAGGAAATCTGAATAACAAAAAAATGGAGCAAAATTAGTTTTGAATGCCGCAGAAAAAAAAAAAATCGGTTAAATTTTTGAAGTCCTTATAATATTTTATATTAGAATTCTAGATGGAAGACACACGCAATGATTCAATAACAATTTTTATGCAAAATATATACATAACCTCAAAGTGCATGACAATCAAAATGTGTAGGTATTTTGATTTGAATTCAGTATAAGTTACTTACGCCAAACAAATTAGACATCGCGTAAATAAAAAATACGGGAACTTTCTCCCTCTCTATTAGTTAATTAGCTCATAAATTGATTTTTTGCCCTATTAAACGTTCTTTCGACGGTGAATAGTCTGACAAGAGAAAAAGCGTTTATTTGTCTTAATTGCTGCGGTTTTTGTTTCTTTTTTTTTTTTTTTCTTGGGAATGAAATGAGTGAACCGAATTAATTAATTTATAATGTCCTCCAGGCTATATATTCGTTATACCGTTTAACGGAACGCACAAATAAAATTTACATGCATAAAATAAAAATCTTAAATCCACATACAATGTACCCATTATTACTATAATAGATAATAAGCGACATATCATAAATCAAAAATACTTTTGAATGTGCAAAACTAAGGCCACGTCCATCTGTCGCTTGATCTCGGGTTAAAGTCACGTTTACGATAGTTGCATTTCGCGACTACTTGAGCACACAGTTTAAAGCTTAATTAAGTCTTCGATTGTCATTCATGAATGAATGAGTGAACATATGTTTGTTCACGATGTCTATGTAAATATTCAATACATATATATATATAATTTTTATTTTGAATTATTATATGCGAAATCGGTATATGACGTTGGTATTAAATAGTTATTCCCTTCGCCCCAAGCCAAGTGTAACCTCTAAATGGTCTTCTTTTTTCTTTTTTTTTTTTTTTTTCTTACTCTTGTATTGTTATGCTAAGAGAAAAATTTTATATGGAATTCAGTTTAGACAGATTTCTTTATCGCTCCATGCAATACGCCGCGATACCCGGCAAGAGTGATGGGATGTAACCAATCTACGCATGTTCCGTATGCACACATATTTTAAATTCATTCTCAATAAATTGAATTATTTTCTTTGGTGCCGTTGCTTGTTATAGTTATGTATGCCAGTCATGTCACATGGTAACGCTTCACAATTTTTGATTTTATATATTTATTTTGTTATATTGTTATTTTGTTAAATTCACTGGCTGCCACATGTACACATCAGGTGTCAATATTCCCGTAAACCCTTAACGTTAAACGCGCTTGCATCACCACATTCGAAACGGCTGTTATTATTATTTGTTCGTATGTCGTTCTTATCCGAATGACGTTGTTAATCATGTTCTAAGAAACAGTTGAAAAAGCACTCGCGTTCTCACGCGATATTTTCAATTCGTATGACTCGTAATGATTTCAAGAATTTGCAATTTAATCATTATAACTATCACCGGAATCGGTATCTACTCAGTTTGTTATTGCATTTTTTTTATATTAAATTTTTTTTTTTTTTTTTTTTTTGATTATAATTTCTTTTAAAGTTCAATTTTTGCAAAATCTTTCAGTTTTTATTCCGCCTAAAATTTGTTCAGGATAAACGTAAAATTTTGAAATCACTGAAAATTGTTTGTCAAAACTCACGGCATTCGTGTCAAGCATAACTGCTTGCTCTGAAACTAAATTACAAGTCTTATAATCCTTCCAATAAAGTAATAAATAATTGATCGAATTGTGGAAGAGTACAACCTCTCTCTCGTATATACTTTACTATATACTTTCGCATAACTGCGCGAATTGAAAATATTAGCGAATATATTTCTAAATGAGTCCAACTCGTCGATTATGCAAGGTTTGCTATGGTAGCGACTATTTCCACCATATCATTCTAATTTTGAACATATCAAGACGATGCAAGAAGATGGATTGCCAGCGAAAGAATTAACCAAGAAAAGTTGGGTCAGATGTGTGCCCGTAATATATGTAGTGTGAACAGAAATGAAAGCTTATTTTGCATTAGAACGAATGTTGTAATAACATTAATACGTTAACCTTGATCAGAAGAAGTGTTGATAGAAAAATAAAAACACGCACACCCATGCGCTAAAGTATACTTGACGTAGGCATAGGCTGACTGAACTGGAACTAAATCATGCTTTATTAGCTTAAACTTCACTATATCTTGTTAGCTTTCGAATATTTAGCGAAAATTTGGGAACATTTCTCGAAAGCGAGCTGTTTTTCGACTTGGAACGAAATTACGAAGAGATGGCTCCAACGGAAATAAATGAAAATAAATCGCCGCTACCTCAAGTATGCATTCAGACAAAACTAAAATTTGTTTTTTAAATATTTTCTGTAAAGCTTGCTACTGATGCAATCGCATCTTTCTGATTCTAGCCAGATTTACATTTCAATATCACCAGATAGCATCGTCGCATGTTATCGGAAAATTCTCAACACAAGCGAATTTTTCATATAAAAATGTTTCACTTATTTCGCAAATAAAATGCATTTTTGTTAACAAAATTATTTAAATACTTTCTCTGCAACTATTCACAACTCGTGATTTTCAGCGAGTTACTTAAAAAAAAAAAAAAAAAAAAAAAAAAGGTTAAAAGCGCACTCTCGCCCTCTAGAAAAAAAAAAAGAAAAAAATTGTATACTTTTATAGTTAAAAATTAGTTCTCTATGTATAAAAAAAAAAAATAAATAAATAAATAAAATAAAATAAAATATTTTTTCTCAAA